CTCTCTACTATACCATGTAGATTGATTCAATATTTAAGCAAAGATTTTTTAAAAAATATTTTTTAGTAAAATGACATAATGAACACATATCCTGTGGTGGTCACTATTCAAATTACCCTATAATGACCCAATTATCCCTTTTTGTCACTCTTATGAACAATATCAGATAGGTTATATTATGTATTATATTTTACTCATTCATGATTTTCCATCATTCTTTAATTATTTCATGTGGTAGTCTTATCTCTCTAGTAGATTATAAATTCTTTAAGTGTTTTTTTTTTTTTGGTAGCCTCTTAAATTCTGGAAGTCTTTATCCCAGTTCTCATTTGTACTGATACATCAGGTCCAAAGAGTGTAGCTATGTCTCCTTAAGGCTTTAGGGCTAATCCTGGGGGGAGTATCTTTCTAATACTTATGAATCCCCTTTCCTGCCAAAATTATAAGTTGATTATCAAACAGTCAGCCAGACAATTAGTTTTAGAAAGGGGTATTTATTACAGTAGTAGAATTGGTACAAAGCATCCCTAGAAAAGGTCTACAACACTCTCCAGTAAGTACATACAGAATCCAGAAGAAAGCGAATTCAAGGTTAGAAAGCATGTGTGCGGCAAAGGATAACACAGGTTCTGGAAAAACCTCTTGCTGGCTTCATAAAAATGTTCCTGTTGGGTACTGCTTAGATCTTCTTCTGTGTTCTTTATAGAGCCTTGAACCTAAGTCTTGTCTCTCCTTGGCTCCTAATTTGGTCCTTCTAAGTTTGAGAGGTTCTACTTCAGCTGGGAGTGGGGAGGAGATGAGGAGACAGAGAAGAAGACCAAGGCTCAGGGCTTTGCTGGCCTCTTCCGCACGAATTCTTTCTTAGGGATTTTGATAGAATGCTTTCTCCTCTTTACTTCCTCGAATCCCTCAGGCCCCAAATAGCTTGATATTTTATAGATTGTCCACATGATGTGACAATTTCCTCAGTTAATTGGAATGTCATTTCTGTGCAAAGTCGCTCTAGTTGACCAAACAAGGACTTTTTTCTGTCTTAAGTCTAAAGCCCATGATTGATTGATTCAATAGAGAAGTGTTCTCACCCAGTTAATATATTAGACTTTAGCTTCTTGACACTTTTCAAGGGATCTGTGATTTGATCAAGCTCTGTTCTTTTATATATGATTTAAAAATAATTCTCAGTTCATATTATATCCAATCCAACAAGTATTTATTAAAACCTGCTATATATCAGGTAGACTCTTAGAATACAAAGACCAAAGAAAAACAGGTCCTGTCTTCAAGGAGCTTGCACTTTACTAGGACAGCTAATAAATATTTGGTGATTTCTGTACTTATCCACTGTTAGCAGTTTTGTGCTGATACTCCTTACAAATAGTCCCATCCCTTATTTGTAGTCTGAAAAGTCATACCCACAGCAAAGTATTGAGGAGAAAGCCCCAGATTATTGAACCCCTGCATTTTCACTCTGCATTTAGTGTTGTTGAGTGTCCCTTAAGGAACTTGGAAAGAAACTATTCATCTACTGTCTTCATTCATGGTATGTCCAAGCTTCTTCTGAAGACAAAGTGAAATATTAACAACTTTTCTTCTTTTGAAATGCTTTAATTGCTCAGGTATCTTACTTGTTTTGACAAACCAGTCATCCTGAAAGCAGGTTCTTAAGACATGCATATACACACAACTCTTTTCCTCTTTAGAATGCTTACAGCTTTGATTTATTAGTTCATTTTATATACAGAACAAATGAAAAAAACATTTATTAAGTGCTTGCTATGTCCAAACCATTTGTGATTTACACAGTGAGATTTAGCTAGTCTTTCTAAATTTAAAATTTAAATTTATGAGAAATGTGAACTCTAACTGAATTTATTGATTTCTCTCCCACAATATTTTCTGGTTGACTGGGCTACTGAAGTAAAGCTATACATTTTTTTGAGACTTGAATTGTCTTTAGCTGGCTACTCTCCAAGTACCTTAAGTTTTTAGTAAATGATACTGAAACATAAGTAGATAGTAGGTATTGGATGTATTATGACTTATGACTGTATTTTCAATAATCTCTACCCAGAGACCGGGCAGAACTATAATACCGGGACTTTCTGGGTCTAGATCTCACACATGAGAATGACATTCACCTTAGAAAACTCCCATAGACTGGCTAATGTATATAGTTGGAGAGCAGAGCTTCATCTTAAGTTAGTAATTTAACAAGAAAAGAAGCTCAGGGTTACTTGGGTACTATGATCAAGTCGAGGCAAAATTTTAAAGGGTACTCCAATTAGTAGAGCCAGAGAGAAAGGATCTATGGAATTCAAGTCTAAACCCTATCATTATCTGAGCCATTAGGTGAAAAAAAATCTGCTTTGGTCTAGATAAGTCAAACAAAGTAGAATTCTGCTTGAATGACCCAGCTATATTGCCTCATTTCTCTGATTTACTTTGCTAGTTGAGACTTGGTCTTTAGTGGGAACTTGTGTTACACTGGGGTGCAATAATGGATGGCAAGATGCCATAGTTCCATTGTCTTGAATCCTTCATAAAAGATTTCAGGGCGTTAGGTGGAGTGTGGTCCTGGATGGACTATATGCTGAGCCTGACTGTTTTTTTTTTTTCTAAATTGCTAGAGCTAGAGCTAGCTCAGTTACAATTAAATACTTGGCCTTATTTGTCAGTTGAATAAGTTATATTGGAGAAGTAAATTTATGAGTAGTGGGATGGAAGCTCCTTATAGTTAGAACTTTTTCATTTTGTCTTTGTATGCCCACGCCTAGCACAGTACCTTGAAAACTGTAGCTGCTTAATAGATGTTCATTGAATTGAATTACATTGCATATAATTAAATGTTTTTCAATGTTATTAATTATAAATGTCTTATGTTTTGACAAGTTTGCTTTAAAATATCAATTTGCTCATTTCCTCATCATTTACTCTGGTTGTTGATGATGAATTCCATTCAACTAAACAGTTATCAATTTTTGACAAAATAAGAGAGAATATATTTTTTAAACTCTTTCATTGAAGTTTTTTTTTTTGTCGTAGTTATAATTTCCCAGGACCATTCTGCCAATGATAGAACCTTCTCTTGTAACAATAGTTCAATTAAACAAACCAAATGAATGCACATGATCGTGCCATTGACGGTGCCTGACAGCATATCCCTTATTCCTCTCCTGTAGTCTACCACTTTTCTACCGAGAGGAATAAGGAATATCTTATCATCAGTCCTCTGGAGTCAAGATTGCTCAGTGCATTAATCTAATTCTCACATTTTTAAACCTTGTTTTCCTTTATATCATGGTCATTGTGGATATTGTTCTCTTGAGAGGGCACATGAAGAGTTACATATCTTTTCCAGAAACTAATAAGGGAAGAGAAAGGTGATGTATAATTAGAAAAGCAGGGTGGTATGGTGAAAAGAATTTGAGTCTGAATTCTTGTTCTACTACTTAGTAGCTGTGTCATTTTGAGCAAATTATTTGCTATCTTTTGGCCTCCATGTCAACATGTGTAAAATGGGAGAATAATTTAACTTGTGCTATCTACCTCACAGGGTTCTTGGGTGGATCAAATGAAATTATGCATTCCCAGATGAGTATGTAGATGTCAGTGATTAGAACTTCACAGTAATTCATAGTACTTCCTATAGATCCCTTGGTTGATAAAGTACTGTTGTACCTTTAATCATATACTTATGTGCAGGCAGCCATGTATTGAGGCATATGAGTGATTCAAAAGATTTGACAGTAAAAGGCAGAAATCACTGCATGACTTGACTCAATAGTCTTTGTAAATCATATAACCGAGTAATCTGATTAACATAGAAAAAGCTTTTATTGTTATTCTTAAACTTCTGTTCAAAGAATTGATTTATTGGATAATTTATCTTTTACTTGTCAATAATCTTAAAATTACAAAGAGGAGGAGCTTCCCTTTGAACCTGCCAACCTTCCCACTTGGGCAGCTTCCCTGGCTTTTCTTCCTTCCTTCCTTCCTTCTTTCCTTCCTCCCTCCCTTCCTTTCTTCTTCCCTCCCTCCCTTTCTTCCTCTCTCCCTCTCTCTCCCTCCTTTCCTTCCTTCCTTCTTCCCCTCTCATTCTCTCTCTCTCTGTTTCTATCTCTCTTTTTCCCATTCTAAGGGGCCTATGCATTTAAAAAATGGCAATTTGTCTAGGAAAGTAGACATGAGAGATGCCTTTCTTCCTAGCTACTCCTCTCCCTTTCCAAAAGTTCCTTAATTTTTTTTTTTACAGTAGAACAAAGTTCATCCACTAAGTTTTTTTCAAGACCTTTAAGATACAAGCTCTTAAATTATAAACAGGTTTCCAAAGCTTTTTAAATTTCCAGGTCCTTTTATTAGCTCATTTTCTACTTCAGAATGTTTATCTCTCGGGTCAGAGAGAAACTTAAATCACTGCAGGAAATGCCAGACAGTTTATAGGACGATCATATGACAGAGGGAAGGGCTTAAGAGCCATGGAGAAGCTGAACTAGTCTAGGTTGACTATAGTCAAGTACCCAATTAGTCAGTGTCAAGAAGAAGGAAAATGGGTTGAGGGAATGGGTGAATGGGATGACTAGAATCCCTTTCACACAAGAGTTTTCATGTGGCTTTTAGTAGCAACTAATTTAGGCTCACCAAAATTTATGTGCTGAACGAGTGCTTTTTCCTAGTTAGATTCACCTCTGTCAAGACTTTATGCTTTACTACAGGCAGAAAATGCTTCAGCTGGACTATGTTAGTTTTGCTGGCAGATTAATGACACACACTCCACTTTTTGTCAAACCTCTATCCTAGCTGAAGTGCTCAGAAAGTTAAAAAATCTGGCCTAGCATGGAGAAAAGGCAGGCCTTCATTTTAAAAAAAGAGATTTTCCACTTCCAGTCAAATGGTGGTGCTAGTTCTTCATTTTTGAGGCATTGTATTTCCTAATTTCTTGGTCATAACAACCTCCTGTGTATTGCCACAGAGCAGATTTCACCAAAACAGAGAATGCAAGGGCACATGCACAGAAGCTGTTTAATGGGCTAGAAAGGTTAATAGTCCTTCCTTCTGCATATTCTATAGTATAAGAAGACAGACAGGCTGTGAGGGGGATTCTTCTGTCCAAGTAGGTACTCCTATTTCTTTCCTCCCTTCTTTCTTTTTCTATTCTTTTTTCCCCTCTTTTTTTTTTTTTTAGGGGGAGGGAATCTGTGTGTATATGTATTTGTGTGTGTGCATGTTATTTACAAGCATGTTGTAACGCTAGTGCTTACAGCCATTCACTTTCTTTTTTCATATGGCTTGAGGCATATTTTGCAAAGTCTGTTGGCAAGAGTATTACTATGTTCAAGTGTTAAGTCTGAACTAAATGCAATGGAAATTCACTTTTGGAATAATAATCAGCTGAGTCAGAGGGCAAGAAGGGTACTCTTTTCTTAGTGCAGTAGTGACGGACTTACTGATCCCAACAAAATATATTTTTTGGACACAGCTCTCTCTATGAAATCCACAGAAATATTCCACAATCACCTAAGTCTCTCTATTTGGCCAACCATGCACATTGATGAGATCTGATAGAGAATGCACTGAAGTTATCATGAACATGTGGCAGCTGCCTGTTATGGTATAGTATAAATACAATAACTTTTGGCAGTTCCAACCAAATGTTTTGAGCAAGCTGTTTTCTAGAGGAAAGGAAGATTTCCAAAAAGCAGCCTAACCCAGTGATATCAGCCTAGGAAGAAGGACCTTGTCATTGATTTGCTTTGTAATCTCAAGCAAGTTATTTCGACTGCTGACTTCAGTTGTCTTTTGTGTGAATAAGAAAAAAAAATACTGGTTTGTTTGTTTCAGCAGGCTGGTGTCCTCATTAATGACTGTACCACCTATGACAGTGTCACATGGTGCTAGTCCAGTAATGATGTGGCAAAAGCACACAGCAAGGACTGTACACTTTCATTTTGGTGTGAGGAAAGCCACAAGTTTCAGGAAATGCTTATTTTAGTTGTCAGTTTAACTCCATAGAAAGAAGGGAACTACCCCCGCCCCATAAGAGTTGATATAATTTTAAAAATATCTATGTATGCATATAGATGTAAGGGTTAGATTATATCTGGACATTAAATCACGACATGGACTACTAAATCAAGGCACCAGATTTCACGTGGCTTCATGGGCAAGAGTGAATGGACTTGTAGAACAATTCTGAGAAGGAGCTTGCTGGGAAAGTAGTCTTGTTTGGGGTATAATTTTTTTTTCTTTTGGTTTAATTTTAAGCTAGCTTGGGTGCAAGATGAGTATGATCGTAGACTAACCATTCAAACTTCACTGAGTGTTTTTTTTAATATGCACAAAGGACCAAAGCAATTAAAGTGGCTGTTTTAAATCACTTTCTATTTGCTCATGAGTGATTTATTTAATTTCTTTTCACCTCCATTTCTCTATTTGCTAAATGGAAGCATCATTTGTGATAGTTTTTGTTGACAACACTTTTTGTCATTGTTGTTCAGATCCGTAATTTCATCAGTGTAGGGAGTTTTCAGGTGAGGAAATTGCCTCTGTCAATGTGAATCCCCAACTTCCCCGTAACTTACAGTCTTACAGAATTGCCTGGCAGCAGTGATTTACCGAAGATCATGTCATCAGGGAGTGTCATAGGTAGAACTGGAACCCAGATCTTCCCTACTCTGGGTCAGACTCTCAAATCACTATTTCATGTACCCTCTCTTTGTTTTATTTCATTAATATTTATTTTATTCCATGGATATCTGAATGGTACCTACTAGGCTGTTAGACACACATGAAGTATTGCAGCAGAAGTTGTCAGGGGGCTTTTAAGTGAAAAAAAAAGATTAGTAATTATCAATAATTTAGATATGATTAATGTTGAGTAGGGAGCAGGAGGCTTAATTTTTAAAATAAAAAATAACATTTATACAGTGCTTTAAGGTAACAGTATTTGTCAGTAGAATCTTTTTCTTACCAATGTGGAAATATATATATTTGTGACAGGGAGAGGGACAGATCACGTGTTTCTTGAATTAGCAACAAGGACATAGTTGTATAACTATCTTCTACTCACATTAACCCTATTTCCTAAAATTTAGCCTCAGCTTTACAACTTGCATTCTTGGGGGGGAATTCAGGAGTGATAGGCAACATATTTACTTTATACCCCTCAAATACACTTACACTTGACATCTATATGCTAGAAATAATTTCTGATGGCTCCTCCATCATTTTTTTTTTCATGTTATCTGTATGTCTTCTGTGCATCTGTCCATAACCAGTCTGCTCACTTAGTTAAAGCAGAGTTCTAATGGGGCCAAGGTCCTAAGTTTGAACTCATAGTGAGTTACTCAATTAACATTAAACAGAAATAATTCTGTTTTAGAGCCATAGATTATATGTCCCTAATCCAGTCTAGTCACTTCATAGATGCAAACAATTGGTTAAGATCAGGCAAAGAGCGAGGTCATTTATTTAGCTTGGTGTAGCTTATTGTCATGGAAGGGAGAATAAAACTCAAAGCCTATATCTGATGGTGGGTGGGTGAGTGACATCTTTCTCTAGGAAGGACGGACACAACTTGACTGTCTAACTTGGTCTGCATAGGATTTGGCATCATGCCCCATGTAAAATAGGTACTTTTAAAATTCACTTTTAATAATGCTGAGAGTAGTGGTGGTGGGGCACCTACAATTAACATTCTTGGAAATATCTCAGGAGAATTTGTACAGTTGGGAAACTGCACATACTTTGCATTGTCTATTCATTCTAGGATAGGTAATTTAGTTGATTGCACTTCAGAAAGGCTGTGATTGCACTTTCCTAAGGCAGCATGATATAGCGGATAGAAAGCCAGCCTTGTTGTCAGGAAGACATGGATTCGAGTCCTCTGATACAAATTGGCTACGTGATCTTGGCCAAGGTATTTGACCTCTCAGTACCAAGCAAAAGCACCATATCATAACTCTGTATGTATGTTTGAGCATTCCTTCCAGCATTAACATTCTATGATTCTATATCCCTTTCCCTGAGAAGCTGCTATCCTAAAATATTGATCAAGTTAGGCAAAAAATATAAGCATAATTGTAAACTATGATGCTAGACTTGGAGTCAGGAGGGCCCGAATTCAAATCCTCCTTTACCCCGTTATTAGCTAGCTGTGACCTTGGTCAAGACACAACCTCTCTTGACCTTTATTTCCTAATCTGTAAAATGGAGATAATAAGAACATTTCCCTTACAGGGTCGTTGAGAGGATATGATAGCATATGCAAAGCACTTTCTAAATCTCAAAGCACTTCATAAACGTGATGATGATGATGATGATTGATGGTGATTATTAAAAAAGAATTCATACATCATTATTCCTTTGGTTCAGTATTCCAAATGGAAAGATGGGCTTTGTAGTTGCCTACTCTTGTAGTTGCCTAGAAGTGTTCTTCTGTTATGGGAATGGGGGAATAGGAGTCCAGTGGTTTGAGGGTAAAGGAAAAGGAACAGCTTGTACTTTTTTCTCTTCCACTCCTCTGTTCTCTTCCAAGGAGGGTGATGGGTGACGGCAAATAACAAGCAAGGAAATATGGGGGACAGGAAGGCCAAATACAATATGTCATGTTGCCAAAAATCTGAAGTGATGATATTCTACTTGTGAGAGAATGTTCCATTTGAGAAATTCTAAGAATCCTTTTGCCATGGTTGATTGGAGAAGAATTTTAGATGTTGAGTGGCCAGTTTCCAGGAGATGGTACTATCATGGAATTCTACACTGTTTTGGTTGGGTTGAAGTTATCCTCCATACTATTTTGGCTTCATAAATCTAGCACTTAAAAATTTAGGCACTTACAAATGTGGCTCATGAGTAAAACTTTTTTTAAAAAAAAATCACTGTGATATTTTTAGGGACAAAACCCAGAAAGCAAAATATTTTATGAACATATTCATATTATGAATTATTAACAAATAATCATTAACAAATATTAATGTGTATTACTATTGGTTGTTTCTTCAAGCATTTTTTAAGTGCCTAATATGTGCCAGAAACTGTTCCAAGCACTACAAAGAAAGAATACAAAACAATCCCTGTCCTCAAGGAGTTTACTGTCTACCAATTCTTTAGTGGTTTTAGAATTGCTGAACCCTTTTCTTTGCTTTCTCCTTCTTCCCACTATTTGCATTTTGTCATTTTTATTAGTCCTTCGGCCCTTCCATTTTGTTAGGTCGTAAGAAGTCAATGAAGGTCAAATGAATCTGCCAGCTATTTCCTTGTTAGCAGCTTTAGTGATAGGTTTTGTGAGGAAGGAGAATGAAACTGTTAAGTAGGAAAGAGGTTTGGGGATTATTTTCGACTTAGATTTATTGATGTGATTCTTACCCATTATCACAGATACTTGGGTACTCACTGCCTTAGAGTATTTCAAAGCCTTCTTCCAGACCTGTAGGTAAAGTGAGCTGCATTTGAGTTCTTTATCTCACTCCAGAGTCCTAAATTTACTGCTAACTTATCAGGCTGTTTCTCAGAGGACTGGTATTTAGTGTGGTCACAAGAAAACATCTGCAAGGCTTAGACCTTAGTGGCAGATTGCCCGTTAGAACATTTGGCCTATAAAGTGTAGATTTCAGAGGAGAAAAATTACTCCAGGGACCCTCAAAGCTCTTGAGAAGACAACTGAGGAAAAATGTCTTGTCTCTGACCAAACTGAAATATGGACTTCTGATTAGTTAAGAATTCACAGAGTCTGGAATAAATCTGAGGAGTGTCTTGTTATGACACGATTTGGAGTTGATGTCAATCCTTGTATTCAGGATTTGCAACAGATTATTCAGTGGAATATGGACTGCTAGGGAGATCAAAAGAGAACACTGACTGTCTTCATCAATCTTAAGTCAGGCCTACCCGGCTTTAATCCAAGTAGAGGGGTTGAGCAACTATCTGATGAAATGGGTGGTGTAGACAGCCAAAACCAGATAATGCATAACCAAAAAGTTACTGGAGGGAAAATAGAGGCTTAAAACAGAGGGTGAAATGTCAAGTCAATTTGGGTAGTCTCCAAAACCCAATTTCACTGGATAATTTCCAATTTTCTTTTGCTCTTAAGTTCTTTATTAGAACTGCCTAGGA